ATTTTTCATAAAATTATGGGCTGTAACTTAACGAATGCCAGAAATGGAAAAAGCATGTCGAAAATATCAAAATGGCCAAGTTTGAGGCCCCCATCATTTAAAGAAGGAGATTTTATGACGGTCCGAATTTTTAAAAGATTGCTGGAGAGCAAGACCTAGCTCTCCAGCAACATTTTGCAGACAAATCCTCTAAATTTTCGGAAAATTTAAACCGTCGTATAAACTTACTTCTTAATTCTAGGGGCCTCAAACTTGGCCATTTAAGTATTTTCGATGCGCTCTTTTCATTTCTGGCATTCTTTAAGTTATAGCCCATAATGTAAAATTTTTTTAGGAAAAATTTGGTCACGTGACCCCAGCTGCAAAGGGCCTATCGAGTAGCAAAAAAAATTTGTCATTTAGGTATTCGAGGCCTTTTTTAAGGAGGCGCGAGGGCCTTTTCTGGGTTTGAAACTAACGATTTAGGGATTTTTAAGAGTAGAAATCTTCCGGTTGAGCTTTTCGGGTAAAAAGATTTTAGCAGGACTTTTTTAGGGTCGGTATTTGAAAGGGGTAACATTTTCCATAGAAGATATATGAAAAGATCACTTTTTCTGTCAAAAATGATTGATAAATAGGAAAGGATTTGGACCTCTAGACACGGAACGTCCGCGTAGAAAACTTTATGAAGCATTCCCCGGAAACAAATCTCATGCATCACCGTAGCATTGCTTACAATATTTTCTATCGACGTGGGCACATTGCAATTTTTTCGACCCCAGGGCTAGTAAGTTTGATAACATAGAATCAAAATGACGAGCATAAGCCAAGCCAACCGAGTAGCCAAGAACAAAAAAAAAATACAAAAAAAACGAAGGGCTATTCATATCTTTTGCTTTCAAAGACGAAAGACCTTAAATAAACAAACAGAACGACCTGTTTGGCTTAGTCTTCAGAGACAGAGAGCCAGAAGAGACGCAGAAAATAGCTGTAAGGTACAAAAACAAAGACGAAAAAGCGCGCAAAGAACTAGTGATAAATTAAGCTTACAGTTGCAAGAAAGAATGGACATGGCTGGGTAAATTTTCGACGGTTTAGGAACAACGAAGTTAGAATTTTAACGATGCGCCGTCAGTCACGTGTCTTTGAACAAGTGTTGTGTTCCGTCGAAAATTCGCCTGAAAACGTCTCTGGCGGAAAGAAGTCACACAGCAGAAACTAACAGGTAGTTTAAGTGCATTCTGATTTATTTTGTTAAACTGTTGACACAGTTGGAGATAACAAATATTAGCGCGTCTTTTAAAACAGATACTACAGCATTTTATGAAGTATTACAATTTATGAAAATTGGACTGATTCGCAGTGAATCTTCTTTGCCGAAATTTGATTGGCTGTCTCCATATTTGGAGTGCTGTCATTCATGGGGTGAGACGTTTGGGGTCACGTGGGAACATGGAGCTCTTCCTGACATTGTGAAGATCCAGGTACAACATGACCACTCGCTCAAGGCCTGGGAGGGGAGGAAGAGGAAAAGAGTTAACGTAGAAACCAATCAAAATACAATTATACACGCAAAATAAGTTAGTAATGTTAAGATTGTGGTCTATGTAAAAGCAAAACACTAAACTACAGCTTTTACATAGCGACAAAAACCAGGGGGGAAAAAAGATTATGACTTCGTAGCAGTATGGGCCAATCATAATTGGTGTAAGATCATTTGGAGAGCATGGAGCCAACCAAAGTTGACGTAAAATCAATGCAGTACGTTAGTTGTTAATTTTGACAGCTTACCTATTCCTCCGCCACCGTGTGGAGGTGCACCAAAACGAAATGAGTCAATATACGCCTTGATCTTCTCTAGATCTAAACAAAGAAAGGAAAAGTAAAACTGGGAGTTCAAATATGTACTGCTCAAAAACTTTACAAAACGTCTGCATACATGCCAAGTGATCTGTCAGGCCGGAGCTTATCTCAGTTTCTGTAGCATGAAGCAACTAGGAGAATTTCTACTGGATGGGATGGTAGTCCCCCAGCATTAGGCTTGCTCGTACCCATTTATACACCTGGGTGGAGAGAGGCACTATGAGAGTAAAGTGTGTTGCCCAAGAACACAACACAGTGTCTGCATCCAGGGCTTGAGCTCAGACTTCTTGATCAGGAGACAAGCAACCATGAGGCCACCGCACCTCCACAATTAACACTTACAGTCTTTTATTTAGGAAAAGGGAAAAGGAAAAAGTAAAACTTAGAGTTTAAATATCATTTTAGTGCTCAAACAACTTCACAAACTGGGCTTCAAAGTTAAGAGCCACGTTGATAATTGACTGGAGGATAGAGAGCTTAACCACATGGCTTACCTATTTCATGGTGCTTGGCCCTCTCAGTCAGCAGGGCAGGGTCATGCACTCGCTGAGCTCCGCTGAGCACTTCCTCTCCTCGCATGAACATGTCATAAGAGTTGCTCCACTCCTAATGAGCACAAAATGAATGTACACAATTGGTATTGTAAATGCACCTTAGCCTGTAGGGTTTGTACAAAGTATGCTATTGTTGCACAAGTTGAATTATATACCATTTCCACACAAATGTTCTCTATTTTGGCAGTAACTTGTGGCACACAAGCTTGCACAACCAAGAGAAGTGTCCAAGAGCCTCCCTTTAGAGCCCCTGCTACCTCCCCGGTTGTCCCAGGCCCTCTTGTCACTTAAGCAGTCCTAGTTGTTCATAGTGCCTCCTTCCTTATCCTATCATCATAGATCCTCAATACAGACAGAGGAACAATTACTGCTGAATCTGACAATTCAGGGCCATCCCAGTAATGGAGGGTGACAATCTTCCTAGCTGTCAAAGAAAATCTTACTCAAAGAAAATTGTACTCACTGGATTGTGCGGGTCTGGCATGGTATAGAACGGTCTGACACACAGTGGATACTTGTCCAAAATGAAGAAGTCAGTGTCATATTTCTGTTTGACAAGTTTGCCCAACAGCTTCTCATTTGGAGTACTAAAATGAAAAAAAGACAGAGTGGAATTTCACAGAAATTTACTCCAAACTCGCTTCATACAACAACAACAACAAAAAACAGAAATAGGCTGTTGTCATAAACCAGGTACACATCAGGTCATTTACCTAAGATCTTCATCGTAGTTCATGTCAATTCCAGCTTCCCTCAACATGTCAACTCCTTCACGGTATTGCAGAACCAAGCTAAACGGAAAAGAACAATAACCACACTAAAGCAAAATAAAACATATTGAAAGGTCATATCTTAAAAAACAAGGAGAACAGTGCTCTTATATGGCTTCGTACCCTACAGTGTGCGCGTCAGATTTTCAGGCAAAACAGCTTAAAACAAAGACTCTTTAGCATCGATTAGAACCCTAGCCCTAACCCTATCCAGTTACTCCCTGAAGACACTACTTCAGTCATGAGGCAATATATATGTACTATCATCCTGCTGGCCTTATTTCCCAAAAACACACCAAGCAATTAATCAACAACCATTTGATTTCTCTTCTTCCCACTCCCCCACCCCCCAACCAAGAGTAACTTATAAAATAAGTAGTTTTCAATATTGGTAAAACAAATAGGAAAACAATAAAAATATTCAAAATTTAGAGACTTTTTTCCCAAAAAGTCATTGAACTAGTGCAAAGTTTCACAGCAAACCTTGGTTCCAAGAACTTGAAAGGCTCACTTGGGTATTGCTTCTGCACTTTTGCAATGTCTTCAGCATATCTGCCAAAGCAAAAGTACAATTTTATTCTATATCCAAAATAAATGGAAGATGCATGTATATATAGCCTATGGGTTTCCACTGCAATGTAAAGAGCATCTAAGACTAAAGGAGGAAAAAGTCTGGGAGGGACTCCCAAATGAAAAGATCAGGGATGCTTGCCATCTGGCTTAGGGGTATAAATCATGGATGCTGGTCTCAATTAGGATGTTCACAGTGAAACAAAACTATTTTTAGCAGCCAAAGTATCTTTTAGGGTGCACTCAAAGAGATAATAATGAAAAAACCCCACTTATTTCCATCTTCATGCTTAATTTCTGCTGGTTTTATCTTTTAGCGGTCAAATCAAGCTGGATCCATGCTCAGATTGGTCTTCTTTAGAGGTTTAATTCAAATTTTTCCGATGAGCATCCCCGACCTTTTTATACGGGAGTCCCCTCCAGTGGAAAAATGTCTTTTTGGACCTGGCTTCTGTTGAAGTGAGAGGATCTTTTTTTGTATAAAACAAAACCTTAAGATACATAGATTAATCAACATAACATTGTCATTACCTGTCACGCAATCCTTTAAAAATATGAACAAATGTACGACCAATCATGTCAATCACCTGGGATGGAAGACAAAAGAAACTAAGATAAGTTTTCATTGTCAGTCATGACATATGAAGACCAATGATGAAGAATGAGACGAGTAAATAACTGACCTCATGGTAGTGTTCATTGAAAGTCATCTCGATATCAAGGCCAATGAACTCTGTCAAGTGGCGGTGTGTGTTGCTGTCCTCAGCACGGAAAACTTAAAATCAGAATAAAAGACTTACTGTAAGCCGTAATCAAGACAATTAGTGTGGAAAACCAAAAACAACAGCTTTCTTTTTTGTCTCTGTTTGTCTGCCTTTCTGTCTGTCTGTCTGTCTGTCTGTC